TCTCTCTCTCTCTCTCTCTCTCTCTCTCTCTCTCTCTCTCTCTTGTGCGCGCGTTTTGGAAAGAATTTTTGTTCAAAAAAATATCCATATAAGAAAATTATTCTCCGCCAATGTTTGTGTACAGGACAGGTAACCAGTCGTTGGTATGGAGACAGTAATAGAATCAGATATGGTAAAATGTTTTTGCGTGATCATGCAGATACTATCAGACATCTCCTGCAGAAACCAAAGGTCTCGCGCGTCAATATGTTTTTTTTTTTAATATTTATGTTATGCAAGCGTTGACATATAAATAGTAGTATTAGAATAATTTTATGAGTTATGCTGATACCTGTCTCTTGTGGAGAAGAATTTTCGCAACGTCCTTTCTAAAATATCTGGTTTCGAGCCGTCGATGCAAGATGAAAATAACGAAAGAAGAAGAATGGTTTTATAAGTTCTGTATTTATTTGGATATTTTTTTGTGACATCCTATATTTCTTATGATATAACTTCATTGATGTCCCTTTTTATATATGATTTTGAGATAAAACTTGATCTCCGAAGTAATCGTGCTCGTCATTACTAGAAGTCATTAGTATAAATAGTAAAATGAGATTATGTAACATAATTCGATTGTGGTAGTGCGTCTTTGCAGATTCTACCAACACCATTGAATGTTTTCTACCAACACCATTGAATGTTTTCCGCGAAAGCGGAAGGATTTCGGAGTAATGTCCTCCTCTGTAGGATAACACTTGGAATTGTCCTTCCTTTACTCAATTAGCTCTCTCGCGCAATCCGTACAATTAAAAGCTAATTATATCCTTTTACGCATGTAGTTGAGAATTTCATGATTAGCTGGGAGATAATTCTTTTGCTCAAAGGCTAACGATTATATGCGACATTACTCCATGACATTTTTCAATGCAACACAAATTGAAAAGTGCATGATAAATCAGTCGATCCGTCTTTACTTTCACCCGTGGTGGCCTTCAGGATGAAATCAAGTTCTATTTAGAGGCGATATTTTTGATAACTAAGAGAACGCCTTTTTAGTTTTATTAAATGAAAAAACTGGATGAACTAAAAATACAGCATACAAAGCAGAGTAAAGCAGATAAACAAAATATAAATATATAACAAAACAAGTTGCTAAATTCGTATAATTTTATTATAACGATGATGATCGTTTGATCATCTTTTATATTGATTCAGAGAACTAATTCAATTTTCTCTCAGATTGCAGGAAAGTCAATATATAAATAGAATATTCCGATTAAATATATTAATCTCCTAATTAGGAATCGTAGTTAATCGTAGTCCACATGTAGTGGTAGACATTATTGTTAACAAAAAATTTTATTTTGCACAGTAAAATTCCTATAAAATTTCTGTAGAAAATAAATATGACCGGTAAAAGGATACAAAAGAGGATTTAATGATTTTCAAATCCACAAATATCGATTTTGGTGGTTTAACGTCTTCGAATCTATCGAGTCATTTTCATTCATCTTGTCTCTCCAAGGAAACTTACTCATCAAATTAGTGGGGGATTGCATTGAGAACGACAGATGGGATTATTTAGATTCTAGAGTGCAGGACGTTGTAAGCGCACTTTAAATATGTGTGTCCCGTCACGCACGAGAAAACTTGTGTGGACATTGACACAACCGACTTCCGACAGACAAGTATACTGAGATGAACAATAGAGAAAAAAACAATTGATCGAACATAATCTTGAAAATACTTTGCGTCGTTAGTTAAATCTTAAAGCGGAAATTCCAGCTGTCGAAGGCGTCAGTGCTCGATGCAAATTCAATGCGTCAGCCCGATTGAGTATGTCGCAGCAGGATTTATCGGAGAAAATTGATTTTTTTCATTTTAAACACGCACACTCATAGGCAAGGTGTTGCCGAAGTGTCCTCTTAACACTTCAATCGCAAATTTCTTAATTAAATTTCACGAAGTTCGTCGCTGCGGAAATCATTTCGGACATTACCTACCGCGGGAACTCGCGAGCACGTCGATGTGAATTGATACTCGTAATAAATAATCGAGTGTCATTACTCCATCTTAGGAATGTCCGCAAATCGTCGCGAAGACGACCGGACGGAATACCGACGTATCGCTTTTTTTATATGCAGTTTAACCCTAATCAATGCGTGTTCACTCACCACTCCTCCTCTGGGAATTCCCAACTCCATTATGCGTGACTTCAGTCTGCCTCTTTGAAAGCGGTTGCCTTAAAATGCTGCACCTCCTAACGTCGTACCTTTAGACGCAGATATTATCCGACGCGCCCAAAGACGTCGGGTTATTCTTGGCATAAATTTACGAGCGGTGTCCTAAGTTGATTATTAAGCACAAAGGGAAGTATTGTCGGTTTCGCTGTCGCGTTCATTACAGAGTCTAGACATAGTAGCGGCTTTGTCGAGATCCTCAATGAAAATCACGCTGACAGAAAATTAACATAAGATTTTCCCTCAAAAGCTGAATCAGTTTGTTTGTTTGAAACATATTAGGCAAAAATTATTACATACAATATTAAAGAGTCTATTTTAAATAATTTCTTTTATCGCGATTCTCATTTTAATTAAGCAATACATTTAATTCTAAGTAAGACTTAATTATCTTCTTTAATTCTTAATTTATTAATTAATTAATTTTCAATATTGCCCATGCAGGATTAAATGTTTATGTCAAAACTAGCAAACTATTTTTCGTTTAAATAAGAGAAAATATACAACTTATCTCTCAAAAATATGACTCCCCACAGATTCTCTTTACTTTCCATTATTTATATTGCACGGAAAAAAAAGTTAGTTGAATTAAGCAAATTTCTGATAAAATATGAACGAAACCCCGTTTGATATTATCAGAATTCTGTTTAAGTTAACAAGATTCCTGGTTAACTTTATGGAATTTTTTTCTGGTTTCGTTCATATTTCATCAGAAATTGTTTAATCCAACTAAACTTTCATTTCCGTGTGCGTTACGTATGTCACGAGAAATATCTCACAAGTGAATTGCACAGAACGCTAATACAAACGTAATGCATTTTGAACGATATTCCGTTTTTATTCTTAAGACGTAATACAATCGATATTAAAATATACTAGTTATTTCTGAATAACGGAGAATATAGGATGCAGCGAAGCATTAAATGGCTCAATGTTAAATGCTAGATTAATGATAGTGAAACTATTAATGATGCTCTTAATGATCGTTAGCTTAATGGGTGAAGAATCAAGCGGTAATTTTGTTGTACACGGTGTGTCAGAATTATACTTGATCGATTACACAAGATGTTTCAAATTTACGGGACATTTTGTCGAGGTATCGATGTGTAATTAAATGCTTCCGTTTAGATTTAGTCCAATATGTCTTGAAATTATTAACATAATTTAAACAATGTTTGAAAATTCACCAATAAACTCGAAAGAGTTCAGGTCAATAATTCCAAGAATTTTGTTAAAAAACTGCATGTGGAAGTAAAGTGAATGATAAACAATAAATTAATCAGCGGAGATCTATTTATCACTCATAATTACGACATATCGGGTATGACCTTTCGTTTCGCGCATATTTCCTGAGTGTAGATACATTTATCGAACTACATTTCCGTACAGTAGTCTCATTAGTCCTGTCTATCTCTATAACGAGATATGTCTGACACGATTAATTATGTTACTCCCAATCAATGGCACTGCGAATATCGCTTGGGAAGTGATGCGAGAGCCAGAGTGTCCCAGAACGACCGGATGTCCTTTTAGTCACGATTTTGGCCAATTTTAGAACATATTCTCGTCAGTAGAGAGCTCAATGGAGATTACCATACGATTACACTTTCGACACGATTCAATAAAATACATTAAACATTCTTCTATTTAACTCATCACAATTTTTCCGTTTAAAGCTCCTGTTTTTTCGCCGCGATCATCTTTATTTATGATATTAAAATATACACTAAAAGTTCTTGTAAAATATATTGAAATCAAATGATATGTTCAAAAAATGACACTTGCAATCAATCAGGCAAATCTGCAAAATAGTCCAAATATTCATCTCTTACTTTAATAATCAATAACTAACCGTAAAATTAGTGACGAGCAACTTATTTCTTTAATCTATGTTTTTTCACAATTCTGTCACATTAATTCTATAGTTATTTATTGATTTATTTATAAATAACCGACAAGTGTCATTTTACGTGTCATACCTTTTTCTTTTAACGTTTTTGCACGAATTTTGAACATACCTCTGACATCATCAATCAAAAACTCCGCAACTAAGGCCTGTATCGCCTGTATTAATACTCGTTATTTGAAATTTATGTCATGTGAGATACTCAGATTTTTACTCAAAATTAAATTCAAGTTTTTCAATTAAGTTGCATGATACATATAACATTACATCTATAATCGTAACTCAACTGAAAAACTCTTATTCAACTCTGAACTCAAATCTAAGTATCTCATTGGAGAGGAGTTTCAAATAACGATTATTAATATGGACCCAAGAGACTTAACACTGATGTTTTGGCGAGTATATCGTGTACAATACGCAAACAAACAGAGAACACGCGCAGTTCGATACTTCCCGCATTCATGATTTAGGCCACTCACCATTGTCATTATCGCCTAACCATATCTCGTTACTCTCGACGATACATTAATAGTAGCAATGCGAATATCACCCTCATATATCTCTCCTCGTGTGCGAATAAAATATACTTCTTAGAATAGCGCGCTCGTTTATATATATATATTCATATAACGAGTAGTTACACGAGAGACACGCGCCATTAGGTATCATTATGTTTACGAGGCTTCGCCGTTAATTGCTCGCAATTGATGCAGCATTTATATTCACGGTCATCGTGCATGTACTAGTAACTCCATTTCCACAATCTTTCATTACTTGAATTCCTTGAAAAAACGAACACTTACCGAACATAATTTTGAACTTTATCTCAACACTATCTTATCTTTACATGGAATTTTAAAGCGATAGGATGTTTCTTCGTAGTTTCTTCGGCGTCATCGATCAACTTTGCTTCGAGCGTCTAAATAAATTTAACGCAAAATAAAACGCGTTTGGTATTTTAAAATAGTATTTGAAATTATTACATTTATTTATGCTACATTCAGATTTCTTATTATTTCGCTTTGTTTACACTTGTAATCTTCGAGGCCTTCTTTCGTTTCGAAGACTAAAAATTTATAATTTTGTAGGGTAAATTCCTGACGACTTCGCATGAATTCGCCCTCTTCCCAAGAATTTTATCTCACAAATAATTTTCCCTAAGAGCCAATGCACAGCTATTGTGACACAATAAATTCACTGTGGATCAATGTCTATGTCACTTTAATAAATCCAAACGTTTGATTTGTTAAAACGATATAAACATTAGTCCACAGTAAATTTATTTATTGCACCTCAATGTATTGGCTTTGTATCTTAGAATTTGATTGTCATATCAAACAGCTTATCAAAATCTATAATTTCCCATCTTTTTCTTTGCAGAAAAGTATGGCGCGAGCATGGGTATTATTGTTCAGCCTTTTGGCACTGGGCCACTGCCAAATTATTTACCCGGATCAATACGAGATTATGAAAGCGGCATCGAATAACAACAATGGAGGTGTCCTGAACAGCAATAATCAACCGACACAGCAATACAATCCACAACTCGCAACCGCCGCTCAAGCAGCACCAGTACGTCCATTATCTACCACACCTCAAGCAGTGTACTATCCCTCAACAACAATCACAACACCGATACCTAACCCGCAACCCTTGCCGCAAGATTGGAGCACTCATGTAAGTTGTCGCCAGTTGTTATATAACTAGTCGTTATATAACAATAGTCGCTGTATAACAAGTTGACACGAAATCTTCCAGCGCAAACGGGAGCGTAAAGTCGCGAATCGCGCGACATTTCAAATGATATCTCAAATGAAAAGCAATCAACAGTAAACTCACGAAGAAATTAAATCGTAAATACGATGCAGTCTTCTTCTCTCTTCATTTTTCTAAAGATATCCCAGTGAATACCAACTAATGATAACATTATGGCTGCGTTCCGAAATTCACTGCCAGTACTGAAAATCTATAGTTCATGTTACGTATACTATAGGATTTCAGTACTGGCAGTGAATTTTGGAACGCAGCTTATATCAATGTTATGATTTCCTACTCAATGATGTAACTGTTGCATACAACGCATGTTATATTGCACTTACATTGTTCAATTTCTATTAATCTTGATTTTCAAATCTGGGATATCAGGATGATTGGACTATTTTCACATAGAAATCCCTGTGTATATGATGTATAAAAGCGAACCGTCGACTTCGCTGATTTCAGGTGAATAATATCATAGCCAGAGGCATTACGAAGTTTGCCTTGCACTTGGACAGAGCGATCTACAACACCAAGGACACTTCGGTAGCCAGCCGCCGTGAGAACACGATCTTCTCTCCGCTCAGCATAGGCGTTGCTTTGTCGATGGTGCTGTTGGGTTCCTCCGGAAGCACCTTTAACGAGGTGTCGCGGGTGCTCGGTTTAGAAGCCGGTGTCGACATATCCCAAAACTCGGAAGTCGTTCATCAGATGTTCGGCTTGTTGCTGAACACCGTAAATTACAGAGTCGAGGAAGGCAAAGGGCCGCGCGTCTCTTCCGCTAGCGGTATCTTCGTCCAGGTACTGAATTTACTTCTTCCTGAGGTCTTAAAAATAGAGATATTGTCACACAGAGGGAAAGGTCTTCCTTGCTTACATTGAAAAGTTAATTCAATGTGAAAAGAAAGTTTTATGGACTTTATGGACAAATGGACAATGTTGAAGATATCTTTTAAGCTACAAATGATCGAGAACGAAAGCTTATTCGCGAAGCGAGTTTCAAATGCACGACAATCTTCAATCGTTCATCTTTCTGCCCTTCGCGTTAGAGAGGATAAGCCGTTGACATATCGATATTCGATGTTTCCAGGAGGGATTCCCGATTCGCCCTGAATTCCGAGCGATCAGCGAGAACGCATACAAGAGCGAAGTGATAAACCTAGATTTCCGAAAGAAAGGTATAGAAGCGATGAATACGATTAACAACTGGGTGAAACAACGAACGATGGAGAAGATCTCCAGCATACTGTCAAGTGTTCCGAGCCCGCTGACTAACGTGATACTTGCGTCAGCGCTTTATTTCAACGGCGAGTGGAATCAGCATTTTATAAACCAAGCTACAAGGAGAAGACCATTCTTTATCGAGCCGAATGAGTCGGTCGAGGTGGACATCATGTACAACGGAGGTTTCTTCCCCTTTTACGAGGACAAGTCACTCGGCGTTAAAATGGTGCAACTACCCTACAAAGGATTGGAGGTGAGAGATCGCCTTTGAATGCTCTCCTTTAGCACTTATAAATTCATTTGCAACTTATTACTTATACTTAGCACCTAACACCTTAAATAACTGATAAACTGATCTTTCTTTATCTCCAGATGTCCATGTATGTGCTTCTGCCGAAAGCTGAAGGTGCTACCGCTTTGAGAAACTTCAGCAACCAACTGACGGCGGAGATCATCGAACACCTGATAAGTAACCTCAAGAATGAGACCACCATCGTCGGCCTGCCGCGCATGAAGCTCTCGAGCTCGTTGAGTTTAAAGAGAGCTCTTCAAAATTTGGGTCTACACTCGTTGTTCGATCAAAACAGCGCGGACTTGAGCATCCTGTCGAGCGGATACGGCTCTCAGCCGGCCATCGCTGGCACGGTGCGTCCTTACATAAAACCACAAGCGGTGCTACCACAAACGGTGATACCGCTCACGAATCCACAAGTGACCCAAACGATAATATCGAATATAACGCCACCGACCCAAACATTGCCGCAAGGTTTACCGCAAACATTGCCGCAAAGTTTGCCGCAAGCATTGCCGCAAGCTTTGCCGCAAGCATTGCCGCAAGGTTTGCCGCAACAATTGCCGGAGAATGTGTCGCGAACGTTACTTGTAAACTCACAGCCAGCGTTGTCGCAGGTACTGTCACAAGCACTGCCACAACCGTTGCCGCAAATCGCAAATCCGTTGAAGTCCATGAACAGCTACAACGACTACTTGATCTTCTCGCGACTCGGTCAAGGTGATAATGGGGCACCGGGCGGCGTGAGGGAAAATTTCTTCAGGTACGACGATAAACAAAGTGGTGTTACCGTGGAGCAGTGGGGCACAGGTTTTCAGATTCGCAAAATTCGCAGAGTACGCCGCGACACCGTCGACGGACGTGACGATGACGCGTCTCGACTGACGTATGTAGCCGAGAAGAACAATGACGGTCTTCGCCGCGGCGACGATTCGAGCACGAAGTTCGTTAGCCTGCAGGAGAATAAATATCGCTTCCGCAACGTCGACAAGCAAAAGCGCGCAAACCGGAAAAGGCGTCAGGTCACCCGACCCATGGACCAGAGTTTCCTACGATTTATCCAGAGCCTAAACTTCCCATCCTACGGCTTAGACGAGTTGAGGAACAACGCGCAACTGACTAATCCGGGTCTGTTCGCCGATGACGTGCTGCACAAGGTAGAGATGGACGTGACAGAACGCGGAACGGAAGCCGCGGCGGCGACTGCCGTGACTCTCCAACGGGACGGCAATCAAAAGCGACTGATGGCTAATCGGCCTTTCCTCTTCTTCATCCGACACGACCCGACTGGACTGATTCTTTTCTGGGGAACGGTCAACACGCCGACTCCGAACTTCGCCGCTGTCAGATGAAACCAACTGCGACGAACGTTTTCGGGAATATACAGAGTTCCTCTTCGATAATTTACACTCTCGCTCGCACTCTCGCGCGCGTACACACACATACACGCATGCCATCTACACTCGATTAGTTTCTATGTATTTATATATTCGTCTCTCGACTCGGATCAATGTAATTATCCTCACGCCTTCTCCATTTTCCTCGTCTTCTTATTTTTTTTCTTGTATCTTACATAGCCGCACATATCGCTTCCGCCTTGAGCTTATCGTGCGGTCGCATCGAGCAACGTGTTGTCTCTGCCTCACTGCATTCCGTTTTATTATTTATCCTACGTTCGTATCGCGCCTCTAGTTGTAGTATTATTGCACCGATGTTGTAAGTTAAGACCACGCATGTGACTTGAATATGTATGAATGAGCGACGTTCGGACTTTGACGACTTTAAAACGATCGAGAGACTAGCTTCGTACGAAAGAGATCAGAAATGTCAAAACGACAATTTCAAATTCAGAGAGAATCATGCGTGAAATTGTGTCATCGGCATTCTTTGATCGTGGAATAGCGAGGAATACTTGTGAAACAGCTGGCACAAAAGTTACGTAGTAACTTTTGTTGTTTTCTCTTTAATTTCATTTTTCGTCTTCTATTGAAATTACGAAAAGTGATTATAAACATACTAAGGAAATTCGCATGCATTTATTCGTTTATATTTTATACTCAAATGCTGCAAATTCTGTATGCAACCAAGTATTAAATATGTTCCTTTTAGCTATGTATGTATATGATCTTCAGCAATACTTGCGTTTGAAATTATAAAAGCGTATATTCACGCAAGAAAAGAAGGAAATATATCGTAATATTTTATTTTATAATATTAAAAAAATAAATATATATTATATGGATATAAAAGTGTATATAACTAAAAGGGACAAATCTGCGATTTTTTTACTAAAAATAAGATGGCGCGCGTTTACAGATTTTGCTTTTCATGTTAAAATAACAATCGATATTCGAACTACTTATTATACTTTATGTTCAGTCGACTCATGTAGATCTTAAAATAATATTTTTATAATGCGACCTATTAAAGAATATTAATTGTAAATGAGAATTATCGATCAAAATAATTTAGTAAATTTATCCACCAATGATTAATTTCCATCAGCGCTCTTCAATTATCCTCGAAACAGATATAAAAATTTATCGACAGTAGTTATTCTTCAATAATTAATTCAACCATTAAAAGTATCCTGAAAACATTTTAGATATCCAAAAGACATTCTACAGCATACACACATACACACACACACACACACACACAAACACATCTTTCAAAGATTTTAACATTCTTATTTCGATTATTGCAGCAAAGACGACTATTGTCACAGATAAACTAGATGTTGAACTCCACCAACGCAGATTGTTCACTCAACGACATCTTGAGAATATCGTCTCTATCAAAGTTTGAAGGTTTTTATTTCAACTATCGGTAACACTAAAAACATACATTTAGTATTTATTAATAGTATCTGCCTATAGCATCAAGAATTCTGAAATTGTTATTATCAGTATATCGATTTGACGTGTAAAATCTGCCAGAGACTCTGGTGTCGTATTCGAACACTGAATACGCCTTTCTGATTCTCGCGCTAAAACAACTTAATACGTTTTAACAGACAAAATGTCCTTTAAATGTTTTTAAGATGTGTTTAAGACTTTTTTTTTAATTTATGCTAATCTGGATATGAATATGCGATCTCTCGCAGAGCCAGAACACTGGCGCCACCAAGCGCCCGGTGCGGAATCACAGCGCAATTGAGTCGAGCCGCCATATTCGTATCTAAATACTCGCGTAGTCTATGGCGCGCTGGGCAACGGGGTCTTCGCGTATTTGTCTGTGATAGTTTTTGTACCGAATGTGCAAGATCTCATCGGTGCGTAACAAAGGTACCCATTCATCTCACAAGAGGCGTATATCCTTCCCGCGACTCACCAGCGTTCCCTTCGATAATCTGCCGACGCCGCTTTGAAGGCCCTCCACCTGTCGCTCCATCTGCAGTTCTCGTCGCGGCATTCCGCTACATGCGTTGTTGTTCTGGTGTGAAGCTGCGCGAAGATACGGCTTTATTGTCAGGGACTGTGTGCGCGCGCGAGAACGAGCCAGCTCGCGAGAAAACATGTGGTGAGCAGATTTTCTCTCACGACTCCGATCGCCCGATCGCCGATCAGCTGATCGCCGCTTGCCGGCTTGTTTACAAACACCGCGTAGCGCGACCTAACCTATCTCTCCGGCCCGATCCTCTAATACATAACCTGTCGGTTTAACGTCAGTCACACGGTACGAGCCCTCGTGTCAATACAGTCATAATAACACTGTCCAACGTGAACGTTTCGTTCCGCGTTAACTGAATTTTCGAACGATTGATCGACCGCGACGTGTCTCGTTGCCATTACAGATGCACTGCGCAGGCAATGGCACGATGGTCGACGGTGCTGTCCGGGGTGTTCTTGGCTCTTTCCATGGTCCTGTCCCTGGGGAAGCTGCTGATGCTCGCCGCCGGGACTGGAAACAATGGGGAACTCACGGAGGCGGACCAGTGGCTCACCGAAATCGACCTCGCGCAGTATCGTCCACTCTTTAGGAAGAAAGGTGAGTGCTCAATAATCACATGTTTATTGGAGAATATTTATCCGCAGCACGTTCCCATGGTATTTTGGTTATTCGAAAAACAAGTAGCTCTGATCACATTGCCACTTCCTGAAAGGATCTCCCTTCTTTCTAAAAAATATCGAAACAATTTATTACTGTATCTCATGTGCAAAGTAAGGTACAGGTGTTAGGCCTGTAGGTATTAATAGTTGTCATCTGAAGCTTGTCTCGTGAGATACTCAAATCTTTATTCAGAGTTAGATCCAAGTTTTTCATTTGGATTATGACGTGTGTGACATTTATAACTATAAGCATGATTGAACTGAAAAATTCACATCTAATTCTAAATTCAAATCTGCGTGTCTCACTTGAGACAAATTTCAAGTAACAACTATTAATACAGATATATTAATACTGGCCTTAGACTTGTATTAATAGTTGTTATTTCTTAAACCTGCTTCAGGTGAAACACTCAGATTTCAATTTAAAAAGTATACTGTGATTTTTCGTTAAATTATATAATATATGCGAAATTATATTTGTAATCACGACTCAACTGAAAAACTCATCGAATTTAAATATGAATATATCACTTAAAGTAATCTTTAAGTAATCACTACTAATATAGATCTTATAGATTTCTTGTACTGATAGCCATTACTTGAGACTTAGCTTGGATAAAATATTCAGATTTGAATTTAGAGTTAGATGCGAATTTTTCAGCTTGAATCGCGATTAAAAATATAATGTAATTATAAATTCAGATGTATCTTACATGGAAAGAGTTTCAAGCAATGACTATTAGTCTTCGGATAATGACTTGTATTTGCAGGAATATCTATATAGCCTGAATCAATAATGTGTCAGGCCAGTAATTTGAATTTTAATTCGGATAAATGCTATATTGTACAATTTTTTCGTACGAGAATTAGTTTAAAATATAAATATTCTTTGGGTAGCTCTTCTTTATCAGCACATCATAAGAATGATATAGTTGGAGAAGAAACGAATCTTATCTGACTACTATTTTTATATAGATTAATTAACAGTTTGTTGTCATGCTGTTTGGACTCAGTATTCCTGCTAGAAAGAGTGAATTCTCTTTTGGTTTGAATTCTTGTTGAAGTTTAATAGATTTTTTCTTTCTTTTTTCTATTGCATCTTTGTTTTCTTTTTTTCTCTTATATATGTTATTGCATTTTTCTTCTTTTTTCTCTTTTTTTATTATTTTCTTTATGCATACTAAAGGGATTATGATCCCGTCAGTAAAATAAGGAATTAATTAATTAATTAATTGAGATCTAAGGAATCCATATTAATAATTATTACTTGAAATTCGTTTCGAATAAGATATTCAGATTTGAATATAGAATTAGGGTGCGTTCAGGGAGCACGTTACCGCGTTCTTCTATCTTTATCTCCTTAGATAAACAACAAGGATAGAATGAAACGATAGTGCTGAGTAGTGCTAATAGCGAGCTCCCCGAACGAACCTTTTAGATAAGAGCTTTTCAGTCGAATGATGATAATAGATATAACAAGACAAATTTCAAGTAGCAACCATCAATGCAATCTGAAACAATCCAAGAAGAATCAGAACTACCCACGACTATCAGACTATAAACGATCTATAATTACTTCGTAATAGCGTAAACAACCGATATATGTCTGAATTATTATTCGACACCAAGGTTGCAAACGACAGATTACCGGTTAATGAGACAATTTCCATACGCATGTGACGACTTAAAATGGAACATACACGAAAGTTGCGTCGGCAGTTACGCAAAGATTTGCTTGCAACTCGCGCACTGCATCCGATGCGTGGGACGTCTACATCTTTGCGATTAGAGTCGTCCAAGAACGTACTACACGTCCCAGCAGTACGTATTGTATGACTTATCATTTTTCCTCGTGTGTCTCGTAAATTACCGGTCGCCATTAATTAATCATCGTCGACACAACGTGACGTGACGTGTGACGCATCGTCTCGCGATGAATGTGATTTAGTCCCGCGCGTATTTCCGCGAGGTTGAATCAATTCGCATATCTCGACCTCGCGGACACTTTAATGCGAATCTTTAATCGCACACGCCGCATTAAATAACGAATCTCTCGCCGCGCCGTGACGTTTCGACGACGAAATTCGCGCAGTAACGCCAGACGTAACGGAGGTTGTGCATTATATATTATTACGAGCATTACGATGAGGAATGATGCATCATATAATTTGCGTTGAAGGATCCGCGTAAATCTTGGTAATACAGCACGCACATCAGCCTACCGCTATTAATCATGCAACGTTACCTCTACTAATGCCCGACTGTGGTCCCGCTGTTGTGACGTTGAGAAGAAGAGAACTCTCTTGAGAATGCGCGACGTGTACGAACGCAGCGAGCAAACGAATGTCACAGGAAGCACCGGTCCGGACAAGAATGTTTTGTGTCGGGAAGATCCCTCGCGGAAAATTTCGCGAACGCGAGATTATTTCATTATTTAGTAAACGCTGTGCGCGCGTATCTCCTCGTTTCTTTCCGATTAAAATCCGGCGCGAATGATGAAACGGAAACTGCGCCGCGATCGCGCTACTCCTGCGCTATCGTGAGTTAATGTAATTTATATTAACCGCTGCCGCATAGAACGAGGTAGGTGAATGATAACAACGGACATTTATGATCGGACCAATCGCGCCCATTATCGGAAATTTTGACGCGAAGATTTATCGTTTGGCACGGAGTCAATTCCTCCGTCGACAATATTCCGGATACTATCGATTAGTCGTAAATTTGATCCGCCCCTATGATGAGCTCTGGCTGTCTTTCCAGATTCCCGACGTAATCACGCAGGTACACTACGAAAAAATATTTGAACATCTATTTGTGGAATACAAAGTTTACTTCCGTGAAATAAAGATTTTATTTCTGTGAACAAACTTCATATTCCACCAAAAAATTTTCCAGTATTTTTTTCTCAGTGTACCCCGTTCAAGATGAGCCTCATTGCACGAATAAAAATTTTTTTTCTCTGTGTGAAAAATCTACGCCTGGCAATTGCTCTCTTAAAATGAATCAGTGAAAATGTTTCTGATTGAATCAGTGAAAAGAGTATTTCACCGACAATCAGTGAGTATTCACTGGTCTTAAGTGGAAACACTCCCTGTTCTCCGTCGTATATCTCACTGATTTTCAACAGGGTAAATAAAATTTTATTGCAAAATCTGCAGCGTACTGAGAGAAAAAATATCTAAGAAATAAAATATATCTATTCGGTACTAGTAACGCACATATTTATTTGTACCGATAAAAAATATCTTCCCAATCAGAAAATATACATTTTCGTAAAACCTTAGCTTTTCATGAAAGTTGTTTATTTTATTTCAATGAAAGACTTAAGTAAATATGTTATTAGCAAATATATTATTTTAGTACCCGATAAATATTTTTCAGATATTTTTTCTCTCA